AAAAAAAAAAAACAAAACACAGAGACCTCGTTTCTCTTTGTTACCCACGGTGGAGGGCAATGGCCCAATCATAGCTCACTGCAGCCTGAACTCCTGGGCTCATGCCGTCCTCTTACCTCAGCCTCCCAAGTAGTTGGGACTGTAGGTGTGCACCACCATGGCTGAATGATTTTGTTTAATTTTTTTTTTTTTTTTTTTTAAGATACAGGGTCTTGCTATATTGCTTAGGCTAGTCTTAAACTCCTGGCTCAAGCAGTCCTCCCCCCTCACTTTCCTGAAATGCTGGGATTACAGGTGTGAGCCACTTACCCAGCCTGTTTTTCTGATTTTGATGTTTCTTAAGTATTTCACAGCACAGAAGAGAGTGTAGGCTTAGGTGTAGACACAGAGTTGTTACCAGGGCTGCACGTTCACTGGTGTCAGGCCTGCATCTTGACTCTGCACGGCTTCTCCAGCTGGGCTACCTATGGCTGCCCTGGCCAGGTGCCTCGCTGCCAGGATGCAAGCCCCTGTGTGAAGGCAGGGGTTGTGTGGGGGTGTGCTGCCCCCAGGGCCTGGCACACTGTGGACTCCCAGGAAATGTTTGGGCTGAATTGATTTTCCTCAGATTGACACAGCCCATAGATTTCGCTCTGCAGTTTCCTAAGAAGATGGCAGACTGTTCTACAGCCCCAGAACTCTGGGTTCTCCTGGTCCAGTGTCTGTGGCCCAAAAGAGGAAGGCAACTCTTAGGAGGGTGCTGTCCTTAATGCTTGAGTAGGAGAGTTTGCAGCAGTGCTTTTAAAGGAGGTTTTTAGTTGTCAGTATGATAAAAATCTGTTTCCAGTCTCTTTGAAAAAGTTGCCCAAAGGTCTAGCGGCACTGGGCAGCGTTCCTACAGGTACACCTGATAGTCTCTGTGGCCTCACCCACCTGGTGCCTGCCTGGCCCCCACAGTCCCCTCCAGGCACCTTCTCTCCAGGGATTGCTAAGGCCAAGGAACCCTCTCTGAGCAGGTGCTTGGTGTGTGTCCCAGCAACCTGACCTCCCTCTCTGACCTGGCCCTGAGGGAGGCCTGAAGCCGAACCAGTGGAGGCTGAGTACCCTCAGGCCACCATAATGCCCTCTGCATTTAGCAAAGGTGGGGTCTGAGTGTGGGCTCGTAGTGGGCACCAGGCTTGGATGTCAGTGAAGTTTTTCTGGGGAGTCTTCTGGCCTCACAGCTGTCAGATCTGAGCCTGCACATCAGGCTGCAGCTTCCAGGTCACAGAAGTATGGAGTGAAGTCACAGAAAGGCTGAGGTGGCAGCATGAGGTGCCTACAGTGTGAAGTGGCAGGCGGAGTGGATGTGCCTGCCAGGCCTCCTTCCGTCCAGGGCCTTCTCTGGTCCTATTGCCAGGATAAAATATGAATCCCCTCAACTGGCTGCATTCATTTTCTAGGGATGCCCTAAAAAATGCATAAACCAGGTGGCTAGCAAAAATTCATTCTCTCCTAGTCCTGGTGGCCAGCAGTTCAAGTCAGGCCATGGGCAGGGCCATGCACCCAAGGCTGGGTAGGAGTCTCCCTGCTGTCTGCACATCTGGTGGCCACAGTTCTAGTCAGGCCGTGGGCAGGGATGTGCACCCGGGGCTGGGTAGGAGTCTCCCTGCTACCTGCACGTCTGGTGGCCGCAGTTCGAGTCAGGCCGTGCACCCGAGGCTGGGTAGGAGTCTCCCTGCTGCCTGCATGTTTGGTGGCCGCAGTTCTAGTCAGGCCGTGCACCCGAGGCTGGGTAGGAGTCTCCCTGCTGCCTGCATGTCTGGTGGCCGCAGTTCTAGTCAGGCCGTGGGCAGGGCCACGCACCCGAGGCTGGGTAGGAGTCTCCCTGCTGCCTGCTCGTCTGGTGGTCACAGTTCTCGGTGCTTCCTGCACTGTCCTGAACTGCACCAGTCTTTGCCTCCATCTTCACGAGGTCTCCTGTGTGTGTGTGTCTGCGTCCAGATTTCCCTTTTCATAACGGCACACATCATATTGAGTTATGAACCACATTAATGACCTTTTTTTTTTTTTTTTGAAACAAAGTCTCACTTTGTCACCCTCTGTAGAATGCTGTGTCGTCACAGCTCTCACAACAGCCTCAAACTCTTGGGCTCAAGTGATCCCCTTGCCTCAGCCTCCCTAGTAGGTGGGACTATAGGTGCTCTCTAACTCCTGAGCTCAAGCAGTCCACCCACCTCGGCCTTCCAAGTGCTGGGATTTCAGGCAAGAGCGACCAGGCCCCACCCTCCTAGTGACCCATTTGAGCTTCATTACCTATGTAAAGCCTCTAGAGGTGAGGATTTCCACATGTCTTTCTTGAGGGACACAAGTCAGATCATGAGGACCTTCAAGGCCCCTCGGGATCCGAGCTGTTTTCTTCCCTGACTTCCCATCCACCTCGCCAAGAAGGAGGGACAGGGAGTCAGGCTGCTTGTCCAAGTCCGGCTCTGTCCTGAGTGAGCCAGCAGAGGTGGCAGCCTGCCTTGGGCAGCGCGTGGCCCCAACTCAGCAGGAGTGCATGGGGATGTGGCTTTACTTCATTTGCCGTTTTTCTTTTGAGAGAAACTTATTACTAAAGCTTTGAATATTTAGCTGTTTCTCGGAGAAGAGATGGATTAAGATACTGGAGGAGGGCTGGGGACGGGCACAGTGGCTTATACCTATAATCCCAGCACTATGGGAGGCTGAGTTCAAGACCAGCCTGAGCAAGAGCCAGTGAAACCTGTGTCTACTAGGAAGAGGAAAATTAACTGGACTTGGCGATGGGTGCCTGAAGTCCTAGCTACTCGGGAGGCAGGAACATGGCCTGACTTGGAGGCTGTAGTGAGCTATGACGGTGCCACTGACTCTAGCTGGGGCAGCGCAGTGAGAAAGCTGGAGGTACCAGCCCAGGCCTGGTAGGAGACCCCAGCTCCCTGCGTGGTTAAACAGATGCCTGGGACTCAGGGGACTTTCTGGGAAAGAAGTGATGAGTCCTCGTATCCTTGAGAGTCTGGTGGTTCAGCACATGTCCTCGAGCCCCAGCAACACAGTGAGCGAGGGCTAGATGTGCTTTGTACCCCGCAGATAGAGGGGGGAGGGTTGTGTCTGTCTCCACTCAAGAAAGCTGTCAGCAGCTGTGGCTCCCACTCCCTCGAGGCCGGGGCCAGCCTGGAGTCAAGACCCCATTGTTCTTAGTTCACCACCGCTTTGGGGAATTGCTATTTTACAAAGTGAGTAAATCCTATGCAAAGGTTTAGGGGGTAAGTTTTTCATTTTTCAGTTAAATTTGTCTTCAGAATTTGTGTTCACCACAAGCGGTAAAAGCAGTGGAACACAACAAGACCCAACACCCTCCCCACTCGTCTCGGAGCCTGGTCGTCAGCCCAGCGCTTGGCTTTCTTGCTTGCTCTGAGCCACCCATGCGTGTGAGTGTCCATGTTGGTTATTGGCTTGTTTCTACGAGAACAGAGTGGGATCTCGGGCGTGCAGGTGACTTTACTGCTCGCTCCGTGCTCCTGTCTTCTGCTTCCGTGTCCTGGATGGTCCTCCAGTCTGTGGCCCCAGGGTTTCCCACAGTTCGGCTACCACTTTACCCACCTGCTGCCCTGCTGGCTGACGACTTGCTCAGTGGAGGAGTCCTGCTGTGTCATCTGCTTGGCAGCTCTGGGCTCTGAACCCGGTCCTCTGGGTCCATCCATTTGCAGACACCACACCTTGTCCTCTACTGCCCTTGCCACTACTCACATTGGGTCATGCTCTGCCCCCTTCCTACTGTGCTTCTCGCCCTACTCTGGTGCAGCCTTCAGCCAAGGCTCACCCGAGCCATTCAGGTCCCTACGTTCCCTGCAGACTGCTCACCCACCCCAGGCCTGTGGGGGTCCTTCCCTTCTTCATCTGCATCTTCTCACGCCTTCAACAACCTCAGGGGCTCCATCCCACTCCATCCCACTCACTGCCCTTGCTGCAGTGTCACTGGCATTTCCAGCACACCTTTGGCCCCTTCCCCACCTGAGGCTGGATCCTCGGGTCTGGCCGGATTGTGCGGGGAGAGGACTGTGTGTGTGTGTGTGTGTGTGTGTGTGCACACGCACATGCAGGGCCAGTCTGTCCATCTACCACCACCAATGCTAATCATCATCTCTTTATCCCCTATAGTGAGGGTTCCCTACTTCATTGATTTGAAAAGACCCCAAGATCAAGGTTTGAATCACACGTGTAATTACTACCTCCAGCCAGAGGAAGACGTCAGTATTGGAGTCTGGTGAGTGTGGGGCGGAGGGAGGGCTGAGTGCAGTCCCTGGGCCTACAGAATAAGGACCTGTACGGCTCCACTGGTGTTGGCCTTGATGTTGGCCTCTGAGAAGCTGCTTGCTCATTTTTATCTTCACTAGTTTCTTTTCCAAAAGAAACACCTCAGCGAAATTTGATCCTAATGGTGTGGGGTAAAATGCCCCTAAACTCTATCCTGAGATTTTCCAAACAGCAAGGCTTTGTGAACTGGGTTCTTATCTATAAAGAACTTTATGGGCAGTGCCTATGGCTCAAAGGAGCAGGGCGCTTGCCCCATGTACCAGAGGTGGTGGGTTCAAACCCAACCCCGGCCAAAAACTGCAAAAAAAAAAACACCAACCTTATTTCTAGTAAAAACACAAGCAAGAAACAAAGAGAGTATAAGCACAGAATTGCAAACACAGGTTTGAATGTGTCTTTTCAGAGAAACAAGTGTCTAGGTATGGAAGCAGCTTGCTTTCTCTCACTTAAAGCACCCCACTGCCGCAGGCGACTAAGACTGGGGCTTCCTGCCTCTGAGCATTTACCGCTGTTAGCCATAAATTCAGATTGAGCTGAGCCCTGTGACTTTCCCCTGTGTCCTTGGAATATGCTAGAATGTTTCTTCCTTAGATGAACAGTGTTTCTAACCAGCAGAGTTAAAATTGACCAGCCCCACTGTGCATTTTCTTTTTCCTCTTAAAAGTGAGTCCATGTCACTTCACCTGTATCAGTGGGGTTTATTTCAGCAGCTGTAATGTCCCTTTCCATTGTCTCAGAAAAGTGCTCTGTGTGTGAGAAGCTTCTAAATGAGATGCTGGGAGTGCAGTAAGAGGGGGTCCAGACACTCCCAACGGTGGTCCTGGGAAGGAACATGGTACAGTGCTCGGTAGCTGGTCCTAGGAAGGAACGTGGCGTGGGGCTCGGTAGCTGGTGCTGGGACTGCAGTCCTTTGTCAGTCCTGATTTGACTTAATGCAGCGTATCCTGACCGGAGCATGCCCAGGGGCTGCTGGGTGTCCATCCTCCCGTGAGAGCTATTGTCCAGGGCTGGTCAGCCCTCCCCGTGCTGGGTTTGTGTCTGAGTGTGTGTGGGAGCCTGTCTGTGGGGTAAGCACTGACAGCGCATAATCACCAGTGACCCTGAAAGGCTTTATGCTGTGGCACCAGTGGTGAGTCTCAGGGCTGTGCTGCTTGCTGTGTGTCATGATGGCTCTGGGCCCTCGGTCTTCAGCTCCCCCCATGTCACTTCCTCAGAGTCTGCCACAAGCCTCTCAATATTAATTTGATCTTAGCCAAAAGGCTGAGAAGCCATAACTCACCAGCTTCTTGAAAGGGGATCTTGAGGCCAGGAGGAAGCCTCAGTGCCATTCTTGGCCACCAGCCTGTCTGTGGCAGTTGTGAGGAGAGGCCTGGGGAATGGGCCCTTTGGTACCAGCTGGGAGGAGCCCAGCTCTCCAGAGGGCTAGCTGTGGGGAGCACAGCCAGGTGTTATCACATAGGTTTATAGTTTTATGAGAGCAATGGTGGTAGTGGCTAGAACCACCCTAAAACAGGATTCTCTTGAATGTATCAGAGAGAGGCATTAGAAATGAGGCACTGAAACTTAAGATCTAGTAGTTGACTCTTTAATTATCTTAAGGATTCTTATCACTGATATCCAGAAAGAATTTGAGTACGTTTTAAAGAAAAACCTTACTAATTCAGACCCTCCTCAGTGATCAGTAGTATTTAGCCTGAGTTAAAATTAATGTTAGTGTCTATCTGAAGCAGGGTTTGGCCGTGTAGACTGATGGCCTCTGAGTGCTGAGTGTGGCCCTGTGACTGCATGTCTGCTTCTGGATGACCTGTAACTGGACATCAGCATGTGCTGGACATTAGAAATGCTGTGTCAAGTATGGCCAGATTTTTGGTGTGCTTTGCAAAGATCAGTGTTGCTGAAATAGCACATGTGACAGGAGGTACTGTTTTAAGTATGTTTTGAGTTAAATTGTGGACAGTTTGACTCAGTGTGAGGGTAACTGGTAGTAGGGTACATGCTGTCACTCAGCAAAGGCACAGTAAGTGCCACTTCTGTGCCAGGCCCCAGAGAATGGACACGATTCAGATGGGATCCTACCTCACAGACCGTCCAGAGGTATCCCCCACCTCTGCCCTTAGTACTGCTACCAGGACCAGCCTCTGTGGCCCAGAAGAGACCCTGCTAGTCAGAACTGTTCCTTCTGAGGCAGGCAGAGCCGTCCTCACAGCCTGCAGCCCCATAGGTATTTATTCTAGTGATGGGAGTGGTTTGCCACCCTACCCCATCAGCTCTCTGTAGTCAGACGGGTCTGTTGCTCCCTGCTGTCAGGACTCAAGCTAGCTGAGTGACCCTCACAGTCCTGACCCTGAGTGCAGAGGGATGTGTGACCATACTCCCTCGCTTCTGCCCCCAGGCACACCATCCCCACCGCCTGGTGGAAGAATGCCCAAGGGAAGGACCAGATGTGGTACGAGGACGCCTTGGGTTCCAACCACCCTATCATACTGTACCTGCACGGGAATGCGGGCACCAGGTGAGACGGGGAGTCCCACATGCCCCTTCTCCACAGCACACAGTCCCATTTGGGGTGAGAATGCCTTGGCCTTGTGGGCCCAAGACCACCAGGAACAAACCTGTGGCCCCACAAAATTGGGCTTACTGACCCACTGCAATGAGGGAGAGCTTCCCAAAGGGAAGGAGGATTCTTGCGGGGTTAGGAAGGTTCAGTTTAGGCGACCATGCCATGAAGCAGGTCTGGTCTGCAGACCTGCCCAGCTTCTTGGGGACCACGATGTTGAGCGGTGTGGGAGGCCATGTCCACACATGGAGCTCCACCCAGGCTGGGCAGGAGATGCTAATTCCTGCTGTAATTTCAAAGGGTGAAGTGTCTGCCCGTGTGTCACTTGGGGGGCAAGGCTTCTCCGAGAGTGGGGGTCGTGATGACACTCGACCGCAGCTGTGTCACAGACGTGGGAAGCAGTGTCTCTGGATGACTTGCAATTTTTTTGTTTGTTTGTTTTAAGACAATCTCACTACGTTGCCCTCAGTAGAGTGCTGTGGTGTCACAGCTCACAGCAGCCTTAAACTCTTGGGCTTAAGTGATTCTCTTGCCTCATCCTCCCAAGTAGCTGGGACTATAGTTGCCCAACATAATGCTGACTTTTTATTTTTATTGTAGTTGTCTTTGTTGTTTAGCAGGCCCGGACCGGGTTCAAACCCTCTAGCCTCAGTGTGTGTGGCTGGTGCCCTAACCCCTGAGCTACGGGCGCCGAGCCTTGCAGTGGTGCTCTTTGCACCTGTCGTGGGGTCTGAGGACTAGCAGGCAGTTCTGCGGTTCCTACACCATGGCTCCAGGGTGTAGGCAGAGCAGCCAGAGCCTGGGCAACCCTTGGAGAAGGAAGAAGAGGAGGCCAGGGAGGAGGTGAAGGCGGCTCACGTCCTGACAGGGGCTCAGAGTGGTGCCGAGGGCAGAGGGTGCAGTGCATAGACCCTGCTGAGTCTTTTCCCAGCCGCAAGACCTGCTGCTTCTGGCCGTGAGACCCCAGGGTCTGAGCCCTCTGACAGGCTGCTGAGGGACATGGTCTGCTGGGTTGGGTCCTTGACCAGTTTCATCCCTGATGCTTTTCCCAAATGGGCTTAGTGGCTTTTCCCCAGGCAAGCCTGAGGTGGAGATGGCCCAGCACCTCTTCCCTTCCACATGTGCTGTCATTCAGAGGAGCCTGTGTGAAGAGCCTCGGCAGGAGGTGCTGTTTGAGAGCTCCGGGTCACTGTCTATGTTCCCTGGGGTTGCCATGCGGGAGGCAGGGCCTAGGTGAGGCCACATGGCACCAGGCTTTCTTGGGGGGCTGGGGCACAGACCCTTCACAGGCAGAGCTAACAAGGAGAGAGACAAGCTGCACAGAGGGCAGTGCTAGAAGGGCCCAGAGGGGCAGCCTTGGGGTGGGCTTTTCACAGTATTTCCTCATCCTGCCGTCCCTATGTCAGGACGGCGCTCACAGGTGAAACCCTGTACGTCCTGCCACCTCACTTTTTCCTCTGTCTAGGACGTGCTACAAGCACTTTCCCTTCTTTTTAAGGATCAAGTGGCTGCAAACAGTGCTTGCAGCATCTTTGTGTAAATGAGAACACTGTGTAGTAAGCTGAGAGTAAGGGTCATTCTGCAGAGCCAGTCACAGGATGAAAGAAGGACAGCATCTGCCTGAGACTTCAGGTCTGACAGGGATGCAGTGAGGGTCAGAGTCATGCCGCTGCCCCAGCCTGCGTGCAACCCCCGCACTGTGGCTGCCTCCTGCTCTCTGAGTTCCTGCTCCAACCACAGTTCCCCAAGGTGGCTCCATCAGTGTGCAGGACACACCACCCAGTCCTCCCTGAGGTCCAGGATCCCTGGGCTGTCAGTTTCTCTTCCTTTTTTCTCAGTGTAGGGAATTTGGAAAATTTCAAAAGGAGCCACCATGAGCTCTTGCAACGATAACTGAAACTTTTTGCAGTATTTCCTCATTTGTACTTTAGTTTCTGAACTGTTTTCTCTGTCCCATTGCTGTCTTCCCACCTAACCCCTGTGCAGCAGCTGAGAAGTGTGCAGAGGACAAGCCTCCCTCACACCCTGATCACCGACATGCCCTCCTCTCTGGGCAGCCTCTGTCCCTACTGCAGGGTGTGTCCAGCAGCTGGGCCTAGACAAGCCTCAGACTTGGAGTTATGAATACGTGACTCTCAGTCTAATACGTGAGAGCTGTGCAGAGCGTGCTCAGCCTCGGTAACAGAAATGTCAGTAATGCTGTATTCTCCTGGGCCCCTTTCCTGGGCCGCTCCCGTACACGGAGGTCTCTGACAAAGAGTCATGAGTGCATATACCTCCACATGCAGGAGTATATCACACACAGGGCACACATAGGCTGGCCACAGCAGCAAACAGAAGCTAGATGGGGAAGAGCCTAGGTGACCCCAAGAGGAGGATGGGGAGGTGCTGCCAGGCAGAGGTCTGAACGTGGGGCGAGAGGTGAGATGCAGAAGGTGTCAGGACACAGATGCCACTGATGTAACTGGAACCTTGGATGCTGGGACATGCTAGAAAGGGTCAATGGCTGGCACAGGAGTGGATGGGGCTTGCTGCATTTCCTTTGTGTCTTTTGAGTTTGGAACCGTAGGTATGCTTTACCTATAGAAAATAAAGGTAAAAGCAATCATTAAGAAATCTCTTCAGGGTGGTGCCTGTGGCTCAGTGGGTAGGGCACTGGCCTCATATATCGAGGGTGGCAGGTTCAAACCTGGCCTCAGCCAAACTGCAACAAAAAATAGCCCAGCACTGTGGTGGGCGCCTGTAGTCCCAGCTACTTGGGAGGCTAAGGCAAGATAATCGCCTAAGCCCAGGAGTTGGAGGTTGCTGTGAGCTGTGACACCACGGCACCCTACCAAGGGCAACAAGGTGAGACACTGTCTCTAAAAAAAAAATCTTTCCAAAGTGCTGAGACTGTCTCTAGTGTGACATGGTGTTAGCAGAGGCAAGTGTGGGCCACTTCTAGGACCCAGGGAGGCAGTCTCATGTCTACCATCAGCCCCTACTGCTATGGGGTTTGAGGACCAAATCATAAAGGCCCTGGATTCTCTAGCACTGTGCTGGACCCCAGGGCTTTGAGGCGATGCCCTAATGTTGGCTCCTGTTTTCTTCTCCAGAGGAGGTGACCACCGCGTGGAACTTTACAAGGTGAGTACAGGCTCCAGCACTGTTCCTGGCCACTCCTTCCAGGCAGCAGGAGCTGAAGGGAGTGACTGGAACTAATCATTTTGATAGTTAACTGTTGTTGGACTTTCTAACTCTGCCTTTGGTGGGTGTTTGGGGGGGGGTAGTGCCTTGGCTGATCCTGCCCATCACACCACCGCTAGGGTGGGCATGGCAGGCCACTTGCAGATATCAGGAAAATGTATAAATGCTCAGTTACTTATGTATAAAATTAAAAGCAAAACCATATACTCCAGAAGCTGCACTGCCTGCGAGTTGCAGGCTCCCCTCCAGCAGAAGTGAGTCAGACTCCAGGCCAGCTCAGTGGACTGCCACAGGCTCCTCTGGTAAAGGGGGCGCTTATGGCAGGGCACACAGACCTTCATGGTATTTGCTTTCGTTCTTCATCAAGGTGTTTGGATCTTAGCACCTAAGGCTGCTGGAGCAGGTGCAGGGCCCATCGGGCCATCCCCCTTGCTCCCTATCCTCTCCTCAGGGATATTTGCACTTGCCAGCAGGGCAGAAGGAGCACTGACAGATGTCTTCTGCAACTAGCTCTGGGCCGTTGGAGCAGTCATTGGTTTTCTTTTGAGGTTTCTGTTAATAGAAATAATTTGTCCCTGCCAAGGTTAAGGAGGCCTGGAATGGGTTGGCTGGATGTCAGGCCCTGTGGAGGCCTGAAGCTGGCAGGGAGCGTGTGGACTGTGCAGGGAAGCCCCCCAGCTCCCTTCCTAGAGGGGGAGCTGTGATTCTGGGTGATGTGGCATCACTGCAGGCACACCTCCACAAGGGCACAGGGACAGGGCACAGAGCTGTCTGCCCAGAGGCAGCCGGCTGAGGGTGTCTCCCAGCATGGACACTGAGCTGCCATCCTGCAGGGGTCTGTCCAGGCCCCTCAGCATCTAGGCTGCAGGAAGAGACCTCCTCCTCTCCTCCTGGGGCGAGTCTGTCACTCATGCTCTGTCAAGTTCCCGTGTGTCTACACAGCAGAAAGCCTCATGGGTGTAGTGATAGGCAATCTGCTCTTACTCCAAGATGCTTGAATTTGTTGCTGAAGATGTTTGTTTTTCTCTGTACAGGTGCTGAGTTCCCTAGGTTACCATGTGGTCACCTTTGACTATAGAGGTGAGATTCCTTTGGAAGGTGCGTCTGAGTGTCCCCCCTCCGTTAGACACGTCTTCCTCTGAGCGGTTCCAGCAAGTCCTGGTGCTGTGCACCCACGGGGGGGCTCTCTGATGGGCGTCCAGGGTGCTGCCTTTCCTGACGAAGCCCTTGGTGTGGATGCCGGGAGCCCCTGGTAGGAGAGTCAGCACCTGAGCCCAGCATCCCGCCATCAGCAGCAGTGTGAACAAGCAAACAGTTCTGCCTTTCTTCCTTTCTTCCCGTGAGGGCGCAGGGACAGGGCATGTCAGGAGTGATCTGAATAGGGGAGAGATCAGCTAGTCTTGGAGCTTTAAAAACAAATGACAGAAAAGTTTCAACAAAAGCCTAACATGAGAAATAAAGGTTGCAGTAGGATCCCTCGATGGGGGTGTCCGTGTACTGGGGCCCTCTCCTGGGTGGGGCCTGCCATGCTGCTGGCAGTGCCACAGAGCTGTCTGCCTCAGAGACGGCCGGCTGAGAGTGTCTCAAATGGACGCTGAGCTGCCATCCTGCAGGGGTCTGTCCAGGCCCTGACAGACATGTTTTATGTCCAGCAGAGCTTGTCTCGTTGAAGTTGGGAAGGCAAGAAGAGCTGTTAGAGATGGGTTCTTCTCTGCCCCCTCAGCATTTCTGCTTTTTTGGTAATGAATCAGCATTTGCCATTGAACAGAAAAAGAATCCACAGTTTGGGTGGCACCTGTGGCTCAGTGATTAGGGTGCCAGCCCCATATACCAAGGGTGGCGGGTTCAAACCCGGCCCCAGCCAAACTGCAAAAAAAAAAGCCGGGCGTTGTGGTGGGCGCCTGTAGTCCCAGCTCTTGGGAGGCTGAGGCAAGAGACTCACCTCAGCCCAGGAGTTGGAGGTTGCTGTGAACTGTGATGGCACAGCACTCTACTGAGGGCAATAGAGTGAGACTCTGTCTCTACAAAAAAAAAAGAATCCACAGTTTGATGTGTACTAAGAACGTTGTGTCTTACTGAGCAGTAGGAATACTTTGTATGAACAGTGAATGTGTTGGAAGCATGCTCCTCCATTCAGCCTTCAGGGAAGAGACCAGGGGGCTCAGGGCAGGTGAGCTGGCTGGCTGTGGGTACATTGGTTCCTTCTTGCTGCCGTGGCCTATTACTGTAAACACAGTGCCTTAAAACAACACAGATTTGTTGTCTTGCAGTTCTGGAGGTCAGAAACTCAGTTTTTAGCCACTAGACTGAAATCAAGGTATTGGTAGGGCTGTACTCCCTCTGGAGGGTCTAGGGAGAATCCATTGCCTTCTCCTCCCTGCTCATCAAGACCGTGGACGTTCCTTGGCCCACGTGCCTTCCAGAGTTCAAAGCCGGCAATACCGGGCCCACCGAGACCCTCTCGGGGCTCCATCACTCTGACCCTGACTCTTGTCTGCCCTTTTCCCTTATGGGGACCCTTGTGACTCCTCTGGCTCACCCAGGATGACCTAACTTGGTGACAGGTTCTGGGGATTGGGGTGTGGATGTCATGTCTCAGTGGCTGCCATTCTGCTGACGGCAGGAATGGCTCTTTTGTGGAAGAAAGTCATCAGGGTAAAAGTTCAGGGCTGGGAAAACTCCAAAACGAGGTCAGAAAGTAGTTTGCCCTCTAGCCCTTTCTCCAAGCTAACAAGGTCTTCCTTACCCTGCTGCGAGCTGGCAGTCTTTGGATGATGGGAACAGGGAGGGGTGTCCCTCCTCCTGTTCATCTCTGAGGGAAACTCCACGCAGCACTCAGCTCCTTTTCTGACTCTTTCCTTGTCTCTCTCTTTGTATCTCTGTCACTGCATCTGTCTCTATCTTGTGTCTCCACCTCTCAGACTGGCCTGGCCTTGGCCCTGGACATCACTCTCTCCCTCCTCTGGAGGCTGAGGCCCCAGAAGGGGCTGGTCCTGCTGCACTAACCCTGGGTTTGCTCACACTGCAGAATCTGCTCTTTCAGATCACTTGATGATGACTCACTGCTGAGCTACTGGAAAGACCAGATTGCATTTGATGTTTGCTGCCCTTGGGGAGGTTGTAATTTGGGGCCAGAGATGGTGACTTTTCCTCTGTTCTGCAAATAAGATGTAATTTGGCCCTAAGGTGAAATTAGCCCCTTTTCCTGTGACTTCTCTTTCCTGTTCTGTCCTCTGGGGCTCACTCTGGTCCTTACATGGGCCCTGGGCAAGCTGGGCTCCCACTGGGGGGGGCTGTGGGTCCTCCACCAGCACCTGCTCTTGCCAAGCCCTTTGTGTTGAGGGCAGTGTCAATTCACTACCAGTAGGGTCTGTCTGAATACCCCTGTTGGCACAGCTGCTCATGGAGACTAGTTAAGGGCACTGGATACAGGATTTGGGGTCATACTGGGGTGAGCAGGAGCATAGAGCTGAAGATGGTAACGGCAAGGACTTCCACTGCCCTAGACTGCTTTGTCCTGCCTATTAAGAAAGGAGAGAGGGTGGCCACCCCCTCCAGAGAGCAGGTGGAGGGCTGGTAGCCTTCACTTGAGTTTGCTGGACCTGTGGGCCAGCTCTGGCCAGAGTTTGTGCCAGGGTGTGTTCTAGGAAACATTTGTTGACTCAGCTTTTCTCTGTCGCCAGATTTGCAGCTAACCAAGAGGGACCTGTAAGGGGACCTTTGGTTTTCCACTTAGCAGGGTGGGCTGCAGCTCTGAGGGGCAGACCGCTCCACCATCCCCTCCAGCTCTGGGACCCCTCGGGGGCTATGGCTGGGTTTGGTGAGTGGCCTTTGATGCCTCCTGCTGTCTCTCCTTCCCAGGTTGGGGTGACTCAGTAGGAACACCATCTGAGAGGGGCATGACCTACGACGCCCTCCATGTTTTTGATTGGATCAAAGCAAGAAGTGGTGACAACCCCGTGTATATTTGGGGCCATTCCCTGGGCACTGGGTAAGAGCTCTGGGCAGGAGGTGGCTTTTGGCAAAGCAGGTCTTCCCAGGTGGCCCTCCAGCATGGTTTCAGGAGAGTCAGATCCCCAGGGGGGCCTGGTTACCTCTGGACCCTGTGGTGCCACTAGTCCCAGCCAGCCTTGTCCTGTCCCCGTGGTGGGAAGCAAGAGGTAAAGCACTGCAAGAAACCACAGGGTTTGAGCTCCTCACCCTCAGAAGGAGCTCAGGGTAGACATGCCTTTACTAAGAGACTTGACCCTGTGGAGGTGACTTGCTTCCCACATGGGCAGCACAGGAAGCATTTTTAACACCCTCTATGGGCAGTCAGGTCCAGCGTGTCTGGGGGAGCTGTTGCTGTAGAGCCCTCAGGACCCAGATCTCCACCAGCTCCTGCTGCCTCTCCCTTAGGGCAGTGGCTCAGCACTGTCTGTCCCCCTGCTCACTTGGACAGCATCCTGCATGCTGGGAGCAACCTTGTGGGGAGAGTGAGCAGTGTGCTTCAGGAGAGGCACCCGCAGGGATCAGCCACCTGGTGTGGTCCTGGGAAGGCGAGAGGCCCCAGGCCTGGCAGACCCCCGGCACCTCCCACCCCCCACCACCTCTGCTGTGCTCCATCTGCCACAGTAGTGCCCACATGATAGTGGGGAGAGCCATGGGAGGACAGCTCCTGGGGGGCCTGGTCCAGGAGAGGCAGCAGGATACACATGGGGACGAGGGGGCTGGCTGCTATCGCCATCCTGGTTGAGGGGTCAGCCAGTAGCCAGGGCAGGGACCAACCTGGGGGCCTCTCCATTCCTTCCACTCTGCCCTGCTACCTAATAGCTTTCAGATCCCGTGTCTTCTCTGGGCACTTCCCAACATAATAACAGTCTCATCTAAATAAGCTTTTATTTTATTTTATTGTTTTTTTTTTTTTTGAGACAAGAGTCTCACTTTGTTGCCCTCAGTAGAGTGCTGTGGCATCGTAGTTCACAGCAACCTCAAACTCCTGGGCTTAAGTGATCCTCCTGCCTCAGCCTTCCGAGTAGCTGGGACTACAGGCGTTCCCCACAGTGCCTGGCTATTTTTTTAGAGATGGGGGGTCTCACTCTTGCTCAGGCCGGTCTCGAACTCCTGACTGAGCTCAGGCAATCCACCTGCCTCAGCCTCTCAGAGTGCTAGGATTACAGGCGTGAGCCATTGCACACAGCCTAAAATGGTTTTCATCATCATTCACCTGAACTCTATTTTTCTTTTTTCCCAGAGTGGCAACAAATGTGGTGCGGCGCCTCTGTGAGCGAGGTAAGGGCCTGCAGTCAGTGTGGGGGTGCTTGCTCACAGCTGGCCCTGCTGCGCGTTCTTATCCAGAGCTCAGTGTCCACACAGGGTGGCACATGCTGGGCTGGCCCCTGCCTGCTCTCCCCACAGGATTCTACAGAAGCCACAGACCCCACACAGGCTTGGCTGCAAATAAGTAGCATCAGCAAGTGAGGCTCTTGGGTGCTGTGAAGCCCTGGTGGGTCCCCCGGTGGATGCCTCCAGCACCCTAATCTCCATGGGGGCCTGCAGAGCAGATTCTGGGGTGGTGGTGTAGCCCTAGGGCTCATTGGCCTGTCTGGGGCCGCCCGCTCAGACCCGCAGCCTAGGCCCTGTCTGTGTCTTCAGCTCCCTGCCCATTGCTCAGTCGCCTATTCATGTTTTCATTTATTTAGAGACACCTCCAGATGCCCTTATACTGGAGTCTCCATTCACTAATATCCGAGAAGAAGCTAAGAGCCATCCCTTTTCAGTGGCAAGTATACATTTTATTAAAAATTATTTTATTAAAAATAATTACTATATGGCTTGGCGCCTATAGCTCAAGTGGCTAGGGCACCAGCCACATATACTGGAGCTGGTGGGTTCGAATCCAGCCCAGGCCCACCAAACAACAGTGACAGCTACAATTTAAGAATAGCCAGGCAGGGCAGTGCCTGTGGCTCAGAGGAGTAGGGTGCCAGTCCCATATGCTGGAGGTGGCGTTCAAACCCAGCCCTGACCAAAAACTGCAAAAAAAAGTAGCCAGGCATTGTGGCGGGTGCCTATAGTCCCAGCTACTTGGAGGGGCTGAGGCAAGAGAATCTCTTAAGCCCAAGAGTTTGAGGTTGCTGTGAGCTGTGACGCTACGGCACTCTACCAAGGGCGACATAGTGAGACTATGTCTCAAAAAAAATAATAACAATCTGAACTCCTTACACATTCTACAAAGCCCCAGCAGAGGTTATAATAAACTGTGTGATATTAGGAAAAAAATAATAAAAATAAAATAATTACTGTAAAATAGCTATAAGTAAATAATTACAGAAGAAGTTAATTGCTGTAGTTTTAATAGTCTAATGGCATGGGCATATAGTCCCAGCTACTGAGGCAGGAGGACTGCTTGAACCAGAAGTTTAAGACCAGCCTGGACCACAGAGCAAGACCTACAAAAAAATTTTTTAAAAATTAGCCCGCTGTGATGGCACTCACCTGTATTCCTAGCTACTGGGGAGACTGAGGCAGGAGGCTCACTTGAGCTAACCCAAGCTACAGTGTGACCTGTGACAGAGCAAGACCCTCTCAGAAAAATAAATAAAATTTTAAAAGTACAGTAATTAATACAGATATTAAAAATTAATCCTTTTTCCGGGCACTAGCTTGCCTATAGAGATGCCTACGAAGTATATAACCCACAGCCGCCTGGAAGGACAGGTCACAGTTGGGTTGTTTGAGAGCAGCTTGGCCAAGCCTATGTGAGGTGGTTGCCATGGGTGCAGCCCAGACAGACATGGGGGTACTGGCCTGGCTGCCTGGGGAATGGAGCTGCTGGGCAGTGCCGCCCTCTGTGTGTGCGGGCAGTGCTTGGGAGCTGGATGCCATGGACTGGGAGTCTGGCCTCCCCTGAGTGTTTCAGGTTGGGCCCAGGTAAACCCTACTGAGCAAGAATTAAGCCTTGGACCTTCTTTCAAAATCTGGCAGTTACTTCCTCCTGCTTCCCTCTCCTGTTCCTGATTGTGGCCACATGACTGGCCACATGTTTTGAAGCCTGTGACAGTCTGTGGGTTCTGGCCTTATGCTGCTATACTGCAGACCAAAAGAGCCCTTTATTCTTTCTTTTTGATACTGTTTTTCTCCAAAAACATGAGGAGAGCATCTGTGGACCCTCATTTGCTCAAGGGTGGTGGCCCTGGTGCCTGTGGGAAGTCTGGTTTTTTAGCTGATTCTGGTCTCTGCGGAGAGGTGTGGGAGCTCTATTTGTGGGGCAGCTTCTGATACAGCCAGTCTGTGGGGCCCGGTGGGTGAGTCTTCTGTCCCCAGTTCAAAACTAGGACACAGTGGGAGTGGCTCTAAACACAGTGCTGGTGACCCCTGGCTACATGTCACGCCTCCTCCCTTGGGTAGGCCCTGTAAGTTCCTGAACATAAACTGTCTTTGGCCTTTGTGTCTACATGAATATCTTAATGCTTCTTAAAATGGTTTCCATCTTGTCTTCAGATATATCGATATTTTCCTGGGTTTGACTGGTTCTTCCTCGATCCCATTACAAGCAGTGGAATTAAATTTGCAAATGATGAAAAGTGAGTACCATGGTAGAGTGATGGATTTTTCAATCTGGGAGAGCACCATGGGCCACCAGGCTAGGGTGGAGTTTGGAGTGCTTAGGGCTGTGCCCTGACAGGTCTCTAAAAGGGAAGCCAGGCGGGGAAGTGCCATGGAAGGAAATGAGGAATCTGAAAAGACTACAGAATTAAAGAGATGTTAGTGTAACTTATTTTCAGTCTGTCAAAACCAGAACTCGGGAACATATAAAGTGTTAATATTAGCCGTTATTTAAAAAGTAAGTTTGCCTCAGCCATTTGGTTTATGTCTGGTTATATAAAGATATTACAAAGTTTATTATTAAAAATTCTATTAGCTGGGTGCCGTGGCTCACACCCATATAATCCCAGCACATTGGGAGGCCAAGGTGGTGGGGGATCACCTGATATCATGAGTTAGAGACCAGCCTGACCTAAAGCGAGACCTCATCTCTAAAAAAAGAGCTGAGTGTTGTGGCAGGCACCTGTAGTCCCAGCTACTTGGGAGGCTGAGACAAGTGGGTCACTTGAGCTGAAGAGTTTGAGGTTGCTGTGAGCTATGACACCATAGCACTCTACTGAGGTGACAAAATGAGACTCTGTTTCAAAAAATAATAATTCTATTAGGTAAACCAAAAGTTAAATATTCTAATGAAGGACTCCTTTTAAACCATTTTCACGTTTTGTGATATTTTTATTTCATGGACTTTAATATTTTCAAAAAGAAGAAAAGCGGCTGGGCGTGATGGCTCATGCCTATAATCCTAGCACTCTGGGAGGCCGAGGCAGGTGGATAGCTTGAGCTCACTGGTTCAAGACCAGACTGAGACCCTGTCTCTATTAAAAATAGAAAGACTGAGGCAAGAGGATCGCTTGAGCCCAAGAGTGGGAGGTTGCTGTGAGCTATGACGCCACAGCACTCTCCCGAGGGCGACAGCTTGAGTCTCTATCTCAAAAAAAAAAAAAAAAAAAAGAAGAAGGGCAGCGCCTGTGGCTCAAAGGAGTAGAGCACCAGCCCCATATACTAGAAGATGGTAGGTTCAAACCCAGCCCCAACCAAAAAAAAAAAAGAAGAAGAAAAAAAGAAACCTTATCTAAATGCTGCTAATTAAAAATCTACACCTTCAAAACAATATGAAAAAATGGAGGATTTTTTCCCTTTAAGTATTTTTTGTTCTAAAAATAGGACAAATTAAAATTAGAGCAAATATAAGCAAAAACTCCTGCTTGTTTGTAAATACTGTTTTGGTAAAATGGACTTTTTAATAGTTTGGGATTCATTTAGGGTACAAAGAATTAGGTTATACTGATTGCATTTGTTTGATAAAGTCCCTCTTTTAATTGTGCCCTGCCCCCACGAGGTGTGCCACACACCGTGACCCCCATCCCCCTCCCTTCTCCCCTGTCCCCACTTGCTCATTCCCCTCCCTCCCCCTTGCTTTAGCTCATCTACTGACTTCATATTAAACTGGATTTCTTTTTCAAAACAAAAGTTAATACTGTGCCCCTGAAGCTGCCCTTGGCCTGACCCGCCAAGCTGAGCCAGGTAGTGTGCTGGGGACCTGGGTGAGTCTCAGCCCTCCCATTACTGGAAGTTGGGGCCAGGCTCTGTAGGCAGGGAGGGCTTTTTTTAACTTTGGGAAGTGGTCTGTACCAAATCCTTGCTGCTTTCTCCAGAAGACTCAGGTCGAAGGGATTTAAACATCAGAAACACTCTTCCAAGAAGCATGAGTATGTACTCTGTGCCACTAGCAGAGTCACAGGCTGTGCAAGGGTCGGGTGCCTGAGGCGTCAGGAGCTCTCTCCAGCCTGGGTCCTGCTGCAGTGCCAGGAGTGTACAGCCCTGTCGTGGGGGGGCCAGTGCCAACCTCACTGAGGGCCGACCAGGAGAGCCCCGGCCTCATCAGTCCTGGCAGCCCCCTGCATCACTGTAGTGTGGCTTACAGATGGGATTCAGACCTCCTGTTGAGCTTACTGAAAATCTAATTCACTTGTAAGCATTCAGACAGGAAGTGCCTTTAATGTCATTCACACCAAAGACAAAGGGTATTTTTTTTAACCAAGAAATTCCTAGTAACATTCATTTCAATGCTTTTCTTTGTTCACCTAAATTATTCAAAAACTTTAAAAGAATATTATCTGTTGGCAAAAGTAATCATTTTCATATTTTCAGAAAATATGCATGGGCTAGATTTTAGTGAGAGTCGATGTCTAGGTCTGGCTGACACCAGTCACCTACTAAAATAGATTTTGGTAGAAGAAAGAAGTGAGCGTCCAGTGCTGCTCTGAGGAGAAACTATAGGGCTCAGGCTGCTGAGCAAGGGGACCCCCACACCTGGACCCTGCTGCGGTGTGGGCCAGGTGGGCCTGCCCTTCCCCGGGCAGACACTGATCTCGCCTCTCCTCCCACAGTGTGAAGCACATCTCCTGTCCCCTGCTCATCCTGCATGCCGAGGACGACCCAGTGGTGCCCTTCCAGCTCGGCAAAAAGGTGAGTGTCCGGGCTCCTGCTCTGGGTGGCAGGTACTACGCTGCTAGCTCCTGGGCCAGGCTGGAGGGGGCGCATCCCAGAGGCACCTGTGCACTGTGTCACAGGCCAGGTACCAGGATGTCACACTTGGGAGGCCACCTCTTCCTCCTTTCATCACCCCCAGGCTACTTGGGAAGGAGCAGGTATCTGGTATTGGGTTGGGGCAGGGTCCAGACCACTGATGCTTCACAGATGGCTCCTAGGCCCTCATGCAGGGCTTCTTCTCTGGGTGAGGCTGCTTGGTGTTGGCAGAGGCCAGACCAACTTGGGACTCTCCTGGGAGGGCTCAGCATTATTGCTGAGTGGAAAGACCTCCTTGATGAGGAGGGTCTCCCAACCCCATGCAGGGGTCCCAGTTGGCAGAACTGACACAGAAACTGGGTGCTTTGGGGGACAGGACTGCTGTCAGAAGCGTGTCATGTTGTCACTGGGGTGTCAGCATTGGCTTGTAATGAATTTGCTTTGACTTTGCTGCCAGGAAGCACAGCTGGATTTGTGGCTGTGAGTGGGGTCAGGGTAGTCCTGTCTGGGCCTGTAGTGGCAAAAGCAGGGTGAAGTTCATGGGCAGGCCCAGCCCTGGGCCTGGAGCACATCTTCCTGACAGGTTCCATGCTCATCCCGGGGTTGTGGGGACTGAGCTGTCCAGCAAGGCTAGGCTCACACACACCCCTTGCCTCAGAGAGAGCAGAGGACTGGATAGACAGATCCAGAGCCAGCATATACAGTGGGCTTGGCCCAGAAGTACACAGCTAGGCCTGTGACACACACCCTTGTCCCAGTTCCCCAAGACTGTACCATCACTGCCATCTGCCCCTCACCACAGGCACTCAGCCTGGCCCCCACCCTGATGAAGGGTGGTCTGGGGGTGTGGGGACAGAGTTAGGACCTTGAGCCATGCCTGGCTGTGTCAGCCGTGTGGAGTGCGTAGAGCCTGGGCTACCTCTGGACTGGTCTCCCTTAGGGTTGGGCCATCTCTGGGCTCTGACCTATCTCTCCCTCTCCCCAGCTCTACAACATTGCTGCACCATCTCGAAGTTTCCGAGACTTCAAAGTTCAGTTTATCCCCTTCCACTCAGATCTTGGCTACAGGCACAAGTACATCTATAAGAGCCCTGAGCTTCCACGGATACTGAGGTAAGACAGTTACTTCCCACCCAGGATGTCATATGGGCCTGTAGCAGGTGTGCCTGTGAGGCTGTGGGGGCTCAGTGAAGCCAAGCTACATGGTGGTCAAGACCCTTCCATTTCTAATGCAGAGGGGCTAAAGGACAGTCTCCCTCCCTCTGGGACTGTCCCTGTCTGTGGAGATCTCCCTAGTTGTACAGGTGCACATGGACATGCCTCTGCGTGTGCTATGTGGGTTCACAGGGGCTGCACGTATAGGGGCGCATGGACAGACATCTCTGCCACTGCTGGGTCAGAGTGCTGTATGTGGGGGCCTTGGCCTTGGGCCAGCTTCTCCAAAGCCTATTTGCCCACAGCTGCTTTCTTAAGGGAAGCCATGTTGCCGGCTGCCTTACATGGCCCAGAATGTTGGGTAGGAACCACCTGGTCCTGATATAGAACCCAAGTACAAGGGTGAGGCCTTGGCTTCTGTGCAAGTTGCTGCCACCCTATTTTACTCCTGATCAGAGGACACAAGCCCTGCCTACCACCACCTGCCTCCTTGCCTTGGGCCAGAGGCTGACCCTCCCTATGTGGGGATAGGGAGCCCTAGAGGGCTTTGACCTGAACCCTGGGTGCTGGTTCCTGGGTGTGGGCATGACAAGGAGGGCAGGGTGCCAGATTGTCTGTGGGTCACTGAAGTCAGTTGCTTCACCCACTCCCGGGGTGGCACACCCCATGTGTAACCACTTCAGTGACGTGCAGCTGTGGTGCCGCAGCACACTGCATATTTAAAGCTCGTTAATTATTTTCAAAAGAAGTTCAGAGCTCAGTAAGGATATTCTTTTTTCTTTTTCTGTCAACATAATTTAAGTGTGCCATGAGACAGCAAAGGTTGAAAAGCACTGCTCTGCTTCAGACTCAATTCTTCTCCAGTTGCCTTTGAAAGTTCCAGAGGGAAATCTGCGTTTATTTTAGAGGCTTGCCATTCCTTTTGACTGGGACAGTGAGGCTTAGCACCTGTTATAGCTCGGTGGTTAGGGCACTGGCCACATGCACCAGGGCTAATGGGTTAGAACCCGGCCAGGGCCTGCTAAACAACAAAAACAACAAAAAAATAGCTGGGCATTGTGGGGCGCCTGTAGTGGAGGCAAGAGGATTGCTTTAGCCCAGGAGTTTGAGGTTGCTGTGGGCTGTGATGCTACAGCACTCTACTGAGGGCGACATAGTGAGACTCTGTCTCAAAAAGGAGTGGGGGGTGTCGCCTGTGGCTCAAAGGAGTAGGGTGCTGGCCCCATATGCTGGAGGTGGCGGGTTCAAACCCAGCCCCAGCCAAACCTGAAAAAAAAAGGGGGAGGGATAAGTGAGTTGAGAAAATAGGGGGGTTGCTTTGGGGTATAGTTTTACCCATTTAAAAGGAATCTATTACAGAAAATTGAGAGCACACCAGAACTCTAAAGTTCAGAACTAGGGATAGTAGCTCCCTGGCCGGGCACAGTAGCTCATACCTGTAATCCTAGTACTCTGGGAGGCTGAGGCTGCTGTCAAGCTGCTGTGAGCTATGATGACAGCATGGCACTCTAGCCAGGGAGTAAGAATGAGACTCTGACTCAAAAAAAAAAGAAGAAAGAAAAAAGAACCAGTAGCCCCCAAACTTGCCTTTATTCCCTCATGCTGGGAATCGAGTCACCATGAACACTATTTGTGCTGTGCTTAACTGGGGCCGTGAGGGGACTACAATAGATAGGATCTGAGCTTAAGTGACATGGCTCCTAATTGTCCTTGTCTAGGGAGTTCCTGGGGAAGTCAGAGCCTGAACACCAGCACTGAGCAGCCCCGGGAAGGAAGCATGAAAACCTCTCTCTGCCCTCTTCCCTTCTTCCTCTGGTCAGCACCCTGGAGCCCCAGGGTGCCAGCACCTGCGATGCTCAAGAGCCCAGCGCCCCCTGCAGAGGATTCAGATGCCAGCAGGGCAGCTGCAGGTGGCCCCAACAGACCTGCGGCCCCAGTGGCCTGGGCCTGACTCTCTTAGGAAAGCCTGGGTGGCAGCCACGTGGCCCTCTCCCCCTCTTGCTGTCACCCGACCCGAGCTCTTGTTGGGGAGAGTCAGTGACAGTGCAGCCAGCCAGTCACCTGGTTGATCCCACACCTCCTGAGCTGGACACGGTGATCCCCAAAAGAGGCACCCAACAGAGGCATGTGGGGCTTGGGACCACAGTGAGCTTTCTGCCACCACCTGCAGAGGATGGGGAGGGGCAGGTTCTTTCTGCTCCTCTGGGCACATATGGAATAGACTCTAGTGGGTGGACTGTCCCCTCCTTCCCTGCATCCCCGCTTGCCTTCTGTGCCTGCCCCACGTCCCCTGGCTAGCCTCCCATCTTGCCCACCTGTCTGCCTAACCTGGCCTTAGGCTGAGCATTTATTTAAGAATAAAATTGTGGTGGTGGTCTGTTTGTCTTTCTCTGGAAAGGTCAGTGATGCCTGGTGCTGGTCTCTTGGGCACTCTGGGGATGAGGACTGTCTTTCTGAATGGAATTTTCCAGTTCTGGCAACTCAGAAACCCACCAGGAGTAGGAAGGTCTTGTTCACCAGCCTGTCTGTTCTCCAAGGTCTTACTAGGAGAGCAGAGGGGATGGCCAGGGGCCTAGAAAACAAATCCCTTTCCTCCTGCTTCCAAGGTCAGTGTGTGCAGGATATCACCTCCCTCCCCCGGCATCCAGTTAGGGTTCCCCACTTTTCCTCTGCCCACCTGTCAATAGTTGTACTGTGGGCAGTGACCCCAGGGCTCTGTGAATATACTGCCCATCCCTGGGCTCTGTCTCCTTGGATACTATCAGCGGGGGAGATGGTGCTCCCCTCCCTTCTTTTATGGAACCGTGTGCTGTACCACAGGCTTCAGTGCTTGGCAGAGCCAGGCAGCCCCTTTCTGGCAGACGATGTGCCCCAGTGCAGGGTGGTGCGGCTCCGTCCTGCTTTGTTCCAGACCACAGTTCCTGACACCTGAATAGATGACTTACTCCGCCTGGGCTGCCTATCATCTTTTCCCCTTTTTGTCTATGTAAGCTACCTCGGTCCTCTGTTAGAGGATGAGGCAGGATATAATGAAAATTTAACAGATTTTAGTAACGTGTGTGGAGCTGCAACTGCTCTGCCACCATCTGTCCAGAGTGACAGCCAAGGGCCACCAGGTGGCTGCTTTGTTCATGACTTTGGCCTGAGCAACTGAACTTTAACTGTGGGTTTCTTAGACCCTTCACTGGGTTACAAGATGAGTTTGTAAAAGGCAGGCGTGAGCTATGTGTGCTCTAAGATGTGCGTCTTATGTTCTGGGAGCCCTAGGGCAGGGCCCACAAACCTGAAAGCATGGTCCCCAGGGTCTCCCGGCAGTGCTCCCACCAAGGGGCCTGGCGGGGTGGGGATGTGCAAACATGGTTCAGCTTGGAGGTGCCAGCCCCTGCATAGCCTGCCGGGTGCTGAGGGCCAATGGTTCTCAGGTTGCTTCAGTCCCACTGAGCCCTGAACTCATTGCTCATTCTTTTTACTCCCTCTGTAGCTACACAATTTAGGTGGAATATTTTGGTCACCAGGGCCAGAAGTGGGTGGCGGAAGCGGAAGTGCAAAAAGAGATCAATGAAATTCATACCAGATAGGTGAACGTTCTCTTCTTATCCCCAGTGACAGGGCCACATGGGCTTTCATGGTTTTTTTATAGTTGGCTGTTCAGGCACACATGGCTAGAAGTCCCACACAAGTGGGGCTCAGGACTTTGTCCTCAAATCCAGAACACAGGACCCTCATTTAGTTCAGACCCCAACCCTGTGTGGGCACCACCCTAGGCCTAAGGCCTCTGTCCCCTGCTTCCCACAGGGACTGGCAGCGAGCACAGTGTGTGGGAGTGAACATGACCCCAGACTGCTGACTCCAGGCGTAAAAGTTTAATCAGCTTCTCACATGAAGAAGTAACAGCAAGTGCAGCAGTGCCGGGCACCCACAGCTAGCAGGGAGGGGGCCGCACACAGGGTGGTGGGGTACCCCCTAGACACACCCCCCACTCTAAAGAAGACCCCATGCGCAGGGAGGGGGTCACACACAAGGTGGCAGGGTACGTGGGATAACCCCTAGACGCATCCCCATACTAAAGAAGACCCCATGGGCACAGCCTCCCTGCCAGACCTGCAGGCCTGTTAATGAAGAGACCCCCCCTACAGCCTAAGTCCAGCACACAAGGTGGTAGAAGCCTCTAGAAGGGTGGTTCCGTCTGTTTTCCCTGACAACCCAAAGTGAGGGCAGTAGCCTGCTCTCCGGCATCTCTGGGTGCTGGCAGGTGTATTCTGGAGTGTCCCCCATCGGGAGGGGCAGGAGTGAGAAGGGTTTGCTCCCCCTCCACAGTGTACCCCCTACATGCCTACAGTCCATGCAGAGCAGAGACTGGCTCCTCTGGGCCCAGCTGGCCCCTTTCCACACCAAGCTACTGCATGGGAGGCAAGAGTGGGAGAATGGAGCCTGCCCTGGTGTGCACAATCAGACCTGCACCAAGGGAGGGCCTGAGGCTGCAACAGGGCAGCCTGGCTGCTGACCCCTCTAACCAGGCAGAATCATCTAGACACGTAACTAAGCAAGTTTAGTTTTTAGTTACTAAACCCAAGAGAAGACTTTAGCTGGTTTCACTTCCTGGTAAAATTATTCCTTTGAAGAAGCCAAAGCAAGCCAACCAGCATCAGCCAGCTGCACATACCCCTCACCATGGCCTTTGACAGCCTAGTCACAGGCACCCTCCTAACGCCCAAACCCAAGTCCCCAGGTCTGAAGGAACCACATCGTCCCTGGGACAGCTACAAAGGCCAGGACCATCTGGGTCCTTGACCTACACACAAGGTACAGAGCCCAGGACGGAGGACAAGCAGCTGTGGGGAAGACACCTGGAGGCTCCCACTGCCCCCAGCATAGCCCAAGGCACAGCACAGAGCTGGGCAGGGGGTGGGCTTGGCCCTGTCGTGTGGCTGGCGGCACAAGTGCTGCAGAAAGCTCATCCCTTGGCGTCACCATGACCACTGACCCAGACCCCAGAATCCAGAGGCTGAAAACTAAAGACAAGCTCACAGCAAGATGCGTGCAAGGTTTTGTGGGAGCCAAGTGGGTGGCTGTTCCTCCCACCCACCCTGTGTGGGACAGATGGGCAGAAGCTGCAGGGGCCCCACTGTGGCCGTCCATGTTACCAACTCTGCTCTCCTCTTACAGGAAGTGGGGACACTCACTCCTAGCATCATCCTATACCCCCACAGCCCCTCCTAGAAACACACCACTGAGAAAAGCAGGGGCCACCAGCTGTTGGCGAAATGCTTGAACCCGACGTGAGAGGCAGAGTCAGCAAGAAGACAGAGCCCTGGGCCCAGCGAGGGGCTTAGTCCCGGGGGATGTTGGGTGGTGGGATCTGCAGGTCAGCAGGCTCTACCCCCCAGATGCCCCGCGCATACTCGCTGATGGTCCGGTCGCTGGAGAACTTGCCCGAGCAGGCGATGTTCCTGATGACCTTCTTGGTCCACTCCTTGGGGTTCTACATGGAAGGAGATACCAACTCATCCTAGGGCTCCTCACACACTGAGCTCCAGAGAACTCAGCACCCAGAAAAGCCACCAGTAACTAGAGTTAAGGGAAAAGGACCCTAAGAGAAAGCCCCAGCTCTTGCAAAGCTCCATGTTTGACTGGGAACAGCCCACAAAATGACCACAAAAATACAACCAGTAAGTGTCTGCCAAGTGTCTGCCCCAGGCAGACGTGCTGCCCGTGGGAAATGGCCAAGCACTCTCCTTTCAGGCAGGGCTTGCCAGTCATAGCTTCCCCTAGAGCCTCACAGCTGCCCCCATTGCAACCAGTTGCAGGCCACAGCCCTCAGAGCCCAGCCCAGGCTGAGGAGGAAAGGTCCCTCCCGGAGCCTGCCAGGCACTCAGTGTCCAGGCCTTAGGCTCCTGCTCCTGGCCAGGAGAGGCTGTTTCCTCAAGAGAGGGTTTGGTAGAGATAGCCTTGGGCAGCTCAAGACAGATTAGAGAACAAACCTCTCTGGCCTCAGCCAAGCACCTGCTTAAACAGTCTGGAAAATAAACAATCCACAGAGACCTGTGGGCTGCTACCAGCCTTACCCGGTACAGCTGCTCCACCTGGGCCTGGCACTGCATGTAGGCTTCGTAGTCTGCAAACACTTTGAACCTGAAACAGGAGATGGAGGCTGAGCAGGGGTGGGCAGCAAGGAATCTGCCCGGAGCAGACTGCCTACACCACCCTGAGGGCACAGAGCCCACAGTGGGAGGTCAGGAGCTGCACATTCTGGCTCCAAGTGGGGGCAAAGTGAAAGGACACCCCTCAGCTCACTGGAGCTGGGCCATGCCAGTCTGGCTGACCACAGGGTTTCTCTGAGAGGAACACTTATGGCCTGGGATCTTATTTTAGAAAAAATCTTACTCCATGCAGATGCTGGCATGGATGTGGAGAGAAGAGAACACTTTTGACACTGCTGCAAAACTAATACAACCTTTTTGGAAGCAAGTATGGAGAATCCTCAAAGAATTCAAATTAGACCTCCCGTTTGATCCTGCAATCCCATTACTAGGCATCTACCCAAAAGAGAAAAAATCATTTTATCATAAGGACATTTGCACTAGAATGTTTATCACAGCTCAATTTACATGGAATACTCTTTAGCCATTAAAAAAGATGGAGACTTTACATCTTTTAACCTGGATGGAGTTGGAACACATTCTTCTTAGTAAAGCATCACTAGAACGGAGAAGCAAGAATCCAATGTGCTCAATTCTAATATGAGGCCAGAAGATGATCTAACACACACCCACATAAGAGAAAAACTCAAACCAATTCAAGGGGGGGAGATGGGTTAAGGAGGGAGCAGGGAGAGGGGAACAGGGAGGAGGGTGGGTGTGCTCCCACTTAATGGGCGCAACGTTAAGGTGTCTGGCACACCTCTTGGGGGCACAACACAATTATAAGAGGGACTTTACCTAATAAATGCAAACACTGTAACCCAATTCTTTGTACCCTCAATTAACCTGAAATGCTAAAAAAAAAATTGCAACATAGTTTGGTGCCCGTAGTTCGGTGGTTAGGGCACCAGCCATAGACACCAAGGCTGGTGGGTTCAAACCTGGCTGGGCCAGCCAACAATGACAACTACAACAAAAACAGCCAGGTATTGTAGCAGGTGCCTGTATTCCCAGGTACTTGGGAGGCTGAGGCAAGAGAATCGCTTAAGCCCAAGAGTTTGAAGTTGCTGTGAGCTATGATGATGCTATAGCACTCTACCGAGGGGGACATAATAAGACTCTTGTCTAAAAAAAAAACTTACTGCAACATTTTTAAAATCTCAGTCTTAAAATTATTTCTGCAAAGATATCCTTGGCTGAGTAAAAGGCAAAAATTGGTCCATGCCCAATGCTGTTTTAAAGAAATGGCATTTACAGTGTGTCTGCCACATACACACAGAGGTAGAGAGCGCCGGGTAACTTCCCCTCCCGGGTCAGGGCTCTCGGTGAGCAGTGTCTCTGTCCTCGGCCAGCTCTCAAGTCCAGCTGGAGCTGCTGAAAGGTGGAACAGTTTGCAGTTCCCCATGTTCTGAACCACAGTGCAGGACTCACAAGATATAAGCACACTAGTACTTATCAGTGAGCTGGAACGCAAATCATAAAACCTCAGTGCACAACACAAAGATCCTTCCCTCATCAGGGTCCAGGTTCTAGCCCAGATCCAAGCACATGGTCATGACCTGGCCTGATGAAGCCCAGGGGTGACATAGTCATCAAAGAGCAACAGACCAAACCAACCCGAAGCAACTGGGAGTGGGGTGGTCAACATAGGTAAGGAGCGGCCACAAGCAGGTACATGCTGTCCATCCACCAGCCAGGCCTCTGCACAGACGGTAATCATGTTACCTGCACTGTGATGTAACACAGGCCACATTGTAATATCACAGTTGCAGGTTAAATCTATTTTAACTACTGGGTGTCACCATGCACTAACACCTGACCCTTTCCAGCTCCCAGAGGTTTCTAGGCTATCCCCACAAGATCCCTCCACTGGCTTCCTCGGGATGCAGCTGCCCTCTTGGCCTCCAGCCAGCCTCCTCTATTCAGGAGGCTGGCCACACTGCCATGGCCTCTAAGGCATCACCAGAGGCCAAGCAAACCCTAGCTCTGGTTCAGCTGAGCCTTGTGGCTGGTCTTTGAGGCCATGGTGGAGAAGGCGCCTAAAAAGCAGAAGTCTCACACTCCCAACAACCACAAGGAGGACCTGACCGTCCACCCTGAGTGGTGGAGACTCAGCAGCTACTGAAGGGGAAGGCTGAAGCTGGGGGGGGGGGGTCCCACCTGTCGTGGTACATCAGCATATTGACAACATCCTTGAAGCAGTCAGGCTCCCTGGGTGAGAAGAAGCCGCTGCTGATCTGGTCCACGGCCTGCTTTAGCTCGGGCAGGCGGTCGTAGAACTCCCTGGCATTGTACCTGTCGGGAGGCAGGCCAAGGATTAGCCACTGGCGCCCCCAGGAAAGCAGCATTGGGGGCAAGCAGCAGCCTCACGAGTGTCAGGCACAGTCCCTGCCAGAGAACAGCCCCAAGACTTGAGCCCTGGGAGGTCCAGGGTGGCAGGGCTGTCCAGGGATGGCTACACGCCCTGGGGTCAGCTGGCTCAGACAGTTGTGAGTCAATACCACCTGCCTCTTTAACTATTAAAGAAATATGACTAGTGGACATACAAGGACATCTCACAGTGCATCCCTACTGCAGAATGCTGCTCAAGAAAGTGCCTCCTCACAAGAGGCTAAGGCTGCAAGGGTGTGGCTGGAGAAGAGTACCCAGGGCTGGGGCCTCCAGGGTGAAAAGGGAAAGAAGGCAGGGCCTAGGGCGGAAGGAGGGCAGGACAGTGCTCTGGCCCAGGGCTGGCAGCGAGAGCACACAAGAAGGTGTAGGACTGCAGCGCCTGTAGCTCAGTGGATAGGGCACCAGCCACATACACCAAGGCTGGCAGGTTTGAACCCAGCCCAAGCCAGCTAAAACAACGACAACTGTAACAACAATAAAAAATAGCCGGGCATTGTGGCGGGTGCCTGTAGTCCTAGCTTCTTGGGAGGTTGAGGCAAGAAAATTGCTTGAGCCCAAGAGTTTGAGAGATTGCTGTGAGCTATGATGACACAGCACTCTAACCAGGACAACATAGTAAGACTGCTTCAAAAGAAAAGAAAAAGGCAGCACAGGAGGGCACTGGTGTTGACAAGGCACAGCTTGGACTTTAGGTGGCATTTGAGGTTTCCTCGACTGAGCCTAGGCCTTTCCAACTCCGTAAGCACTTTGAGGCAGTCAGACATCTCAGCATCAGGCCAGCAAGGGCCTCTTGGGAACATCAGGGTCACGAAACATTAGGCAAGATGGAGAAGCCGCCACAGAGCTGATGAGGCTGGGGAGGCCTGAAGAGCACACAGGAGGTGCCCTGGGTGGGACCCAGGGACAGGAAGGAGTTGGGCAGATGGGACTGGGTGAGCATTCCCACTGCCAGACGCCTGGTTCTATCAGGCTCACTCTGAGTAACACAAGAGCACAGAGAACCTGGGAGGAAGGCAGGCAGCGGCTCTTGCTACTGTCTCTACAACTTCTCAGCAAAACTAAAATGACTCCAGTATAGTCATTACTTTATCCATAACTACTAAAAATTAGGCCAAGGAACCTAGTTAGTAGACAAGCCCCAAATCTGGACATTAACTGAGCACACCTGGCGGAGAAGCTGCCTGCCCTACCTCAGCCCCAAGCCTGTGGAGCTATGCCCACCACCACCCTCCCCGCACCCTGGGCAGTGCCGTCACTCATGGAGAAGACCCTTCCCCGGCAGTCACCCACAAAGACAAGGGACAAGGGCCTTGCTAGAGATGTCTCCGTCTAGACCCCAGGGACTTGGCTATAAAGCCATGCACAGGACTGTGCTCCACCCTATGCTCACATGGCCCCTGGGCAAGCATGGCCCCTGGCACACAGCAGCCCAGGCCTGAGAGCCTGTCCCTCCCCTCTGCCCCAAGGCCAGCACTGTTCACACCCCTGGCTGCAGGTGCCCCAGCAGCCCAGAGGAAGCCGCACCCTTTCCGGTCCAGCGCCTCCACATCCTCTACCCGCAGCCCAAAGATGAAGAGGTTCTCGACCCCAGCCTCCTCGGCCATCTCCACATTGGCCCCGTCCATGGTGCCGATGGTGAGGGCCCCGTTGAGCATGAACTTCATGTTGCCAGTGCCTGAAGCCTCGGTGCCAGCGGTGGAGATCTGCTGTGACAGGTCGGCGGCTGGGATCACTGCAGGGCACAGACAGGGTGTCAGCCTGGGCTACAGTGACAGTGCATGATGCCACATGCCCTCCTCCCTATAGCTCCCATAGCAGGGACCACCATCTGGAGCCCACAAGTAGGACGAGCCAGCCCCCAGGCACTCTAAGGCCAGGGGATGGGGAGACCAGGCAGCTAACCTGCTCCCACCATGGCCAGGCTAGGTGCTGTGCCCTGCCTCTGCAGCTCCCTCCTTCATTCAAGCAGCCTGAGGCAGCGGTCTGAGGTGGGGGCTCTGGAGAGGAAGCCCCCAGGTGGCAAAGGACCTTTGTTTGAAACTTTTCCGGGACCAGGCCAAGCCAAGTCTCGGGGAGCTTGGTGGTGGTGTCCTTCCCTCATCCCCACTCGAGACATCCCACTCAATCAGCCCATGAGGCTCCCTGGATCATTCCAAGAGAAATCTGGACTTTCACAGGGCCAAGGACTGGACAGGCTAAGGGCAGTTTCCTTCTGTCACTCTTACAGCAGGTGTGCAGTGGGGACAAGTGGCCAGACAGACATGGTGGCCCATGCCTTCCCTCTGTGACACAGCAGGCCGGAGGCAGTGCTACCCCTCAGGACCAGCCACACTGTGACCTGGGCACACTGTGCTGGACACCTGCCACCCGGGCCCTTAGTGACACTGCCGCCCCATGCTGCCCCAAAAGCCAGCAAGTGCCAGTACCCGGCCTTTCCTGGGCTGGCAGGGAGGCTGGGCCTCTAGAGACCAAGGTCATGTCCAGGTGCTGGGATAGACCCAAGGTCCTGGCCTGGCAGCCCAGCCCAGCATAGAACTGGGTACTTTGAGGCCAGCCACATGAATGAGCAGGAGTCAGCTGGTCCCCAAACGAGAAGGTGAGGAACAGCAGAGACAGCAAGATGCTTCAGTCAGAAGTTCAGGGGAGGGGCTGCCACAGCACCTCGGGTCCTGGCAATGCTGAGCTGTGCCTGTCCCTGGAATCCTCAAGAACACCCCTGAGGGGCAACACCAGACACAGACAGCAGCCAGGACACCAGGACGGTGCTCAGAGAGAATGAGCCTGCAAACTCACTGTGACAGAGCCTGGGGAACAACAGACCCCTGGTACTCAGTGGCAGGAAGGGACCCCAGAACCCCAGGCTCAGATTTCCCTACATCAGGCTGGGCAATCGCTTCCCTGCCGAGAGGCCCATGCAGGTCAAAATGGTGCCCAGACACAGGTGGCAGGATCTCCCCAGGACCAGCCCTGACTAAACCTGTGGCACCAGGCCCAGAGCCACTCTGAGAGCACAAAGAGGCAGGCGCTGGCTGTAGGAGCTGAGTGCTGGGGCTTGCGGGAGTGTCCAGGTGAGGGGCAAAAGGGGCAGAGGACACGAGGGCAGGGCAGACAGTCGAGGATGCACAGGCTTCAAAGGAATTCTCTCTGGGCGAGCAGAGACACTGCCCAGGTAGGCTGCTGCTGCCACAATGCACAGGGAGGCTCCCTAGGGCACGGCACTGTCAGGCTGGGGCCCATGCTGGCAGGGACTGAGTCTCAGCAGGGTTGAGCTGGCTGAAGCATGAAAGAGCCAAGCCAGCTCCACTCCACCCGACTCCCGGGCAGGAACAGGTTCCCTGCCCAGCATAGGCTTCTGGGGCTACCTTTCTCGGCCAAGGACACTCGGTAGTTCTCCAGGAAGATCACTTTGAGTCTGTCGCCCACAACTGGATCGTGATTGATGACATCACCGATGGACGTGACCAACTTGATTATCATCTTGGCCATGTGGTAGCCGGGAGCCGCCTGGGAGCAAAGGGTTGAGGGTTTAGGGCATGAAAATACTTTGCTCAGGGGGCCTCCGGTTCCACTGGGGGCTGGCCCCCATGTGCTGGGCAGGCAGGTTCCCACCCATTCCCTCCTTGGCCTCCAACAGTGAAGGATCCCTCAGCTGCAGAAGCCCATCAGTATAGCCAGCTGACCATGGCACTCTTGAGTGCAGACTGGCACCAGGCTGCCTGCTGGGCAGTGGGTCCTGAGTGGCAATCTAATGGCCCCACGGGATGTAAGCAGGCTGTCTAATAGTCCTTGGGCCAGACACCCAAAAAATGAGCAAAGATGATGTCATCTCACCTTGCCCCCAATCATAACAGTCCTGGGCACAAAGGCTTTAGCTGGGTCTTTCTTTATCCCTGCAGGACAGACAGAAGAGATTCAAGTGACACAAGAGGAGCCAGGCACAGCCGTGCCCTGAATGCCTTAGGGACCCAGGGACATGAGTGACCAGTTCGTGCTGCCCAGGCAGATCCCAGCAACACAGGTGGGATGTGGCCCCCACGGTCTGGAGCCTGCTGCTCAGAGGAGGATGAGGCCACCCGAGGGCTCCATTTACAGCTGTTGAGAAAAGCCAGCCAGACCCTGACAACACAGCCATCCGGGCCAGAGGAAAGGCCAAGCCTGTGCTTCGAGAAAGGCTGGGCCCAGCAACCACCTCAGGTGTGCCACCAGTACTCAAAGCCCCTATGTGTAAACGGCACTGTTGTGTTTGTAAACCATGTTTAAAACATACTGCTTTATGACACAGAAAGAATGAGAAGTTGAGGTTACTGTGAGCTGCTGTGCTGCCACGGCATTCTACCCAGGGTGGCAGAATGAAACTCTGTCTCAAAACAAAACAACTGAAGCAAATATCCTAGAAATAGCACAATCCATTGACATAAAGTCTCATAACATCAACATTTACATACAGCAATGAGATGACGCTTCTGTTTTTTTAAAGAGACAGGCTCTCACTCTGCCGCCCAGGCTGGAGTACAATAGCATGTTCACAGTTCACTGCAACCCCGAAGACCTCGACTCAAATGATCCTCCTAATTCAGCTGAGTAGCTGGGGCTACAGATGTCTATGTTGCCCAGGCTAGTTTTGAACCCAGGGCTCAACTGATTCAAGGCCAAGGCCACCTGGGCCTCCCAATGTGCTGAGATTCCTGGTATGAGCCACCATGCTGGACCAGGAAGTCACTTTTGAGATCAAGCAATGGGACTACCTCAGACTTCTCCACAAGAACCTGACAGTGTGGTGTAGGGAGCCAGAAGATACTCAGAAGGAAAGAAACACCCAGGGTGGCATCTGCAGCCAAAATGCCCATGGTGATGGAAACTACAGCCTTATGAATGAGCAAGAACTCAGGGACTAGAGATGGACCCAGCCGGCCGGGTGGTGAGTGCAGAACATGCTCCCTGCGGACTGAGACAGAGGTGAAGGCAGGACAGGAGATGGGCGACAGTGCCACTACCATGAGCTCTGACAGTGAGGGACAAAACGCACGCACACACTGCGTGAACACACACACGTGCACACATGCAGACACAGGGCAAGGGGGAGGCAAGGTGGGAAGGAACACAGCCTACTGGCTGGGCTCATGAACAGCTGGGAACCGCAGCACAGTGCTCAGAGTGGATGACAGGCAGACACAGAGCACATTCCAGCACGCAGGCCCCATTGAGACTGAGCACAGTGAGGTGGAAGAGGAGGGGAAGGGCCGAAGCAAAGACTCACTACACGCACAGATGTGACTGGGCGCTGCAGCAGGAGACTCAGGGGCACCACAGGGGAGATAGAGAATGTCACAACCACAGAAGAAAACACGTGTAGACAGAAGACACCACATTTCCTAGGAACTGCTGTGTGGCTCAAAAGGGACAGCCAGGCGGAGTGCCTCCATTGGCCGCAGGCCTTCAGCACCTGTCCTATTAGCTGCCCCGACCCTCTACCTGACTGAGGCTTGTTTACTGGGGACAGCAGAGCTAACGTCACTGGGGGGCTATGCATCTTCAAAGTATTTGTGGGTCTGTTAGTTTATAAAATATCTACGTTATTACATCACAAAGTCTTTAAAATCTACCTTTTCCTTAAGGTTTTATTACCTTACAGGCCTAGCAAATGTCCGTGTTGAATATTAGGAGGATTTTGGTTCATGTTTGTTCTCATTAATCGAAATGTCCTTAAACAATATAAGATATGTGTGCAAATTTAATATAAATTCTTTTTTTTTTTTTTTTTTTTTTGAGACAGAGCC